GGGTGGTGGTGGAGGAGCGGATCAGAAGCAAAACCCGGCGGCTCTCCAAGGTTCGTGGGCACCTGGTCAGCTCCTCACAGGCATGGGGACTGCAGGCAGGCAGGAAAGGCGGTCAGACACCTTCAGGCGTGGTCTCCAGCGAGGGTGGCCGCGTTTGCTGGGGATGGTGCCTGCGCCAGGATTCCTGGAAGGCTGGGTCTGTGGTATGCACCGAGGAACGGGACCCTTGCTGCAGGAGACCCCGATGGGGCTCAGGGGCGCTCTAGAAACAGGCACCCTGCTGGGTGCTCTGTCCTCACAGTCCGTGTAGGCCAGGGGTGGTCCTGCCCCACCCTAGGGTGTTTGGGGTGTCCGGAGATTGGTTGTTGCTGGGGTAGGTGGAGGCCAGGGAGGCATCCTGCCATGCCCAGGGCGGCCCCTGCATGATGCTCCTCCAGCCTTAATGTCCTGCCTGCACGGTTGGGAACGCCTGGTCCGGGGTCCAGGCATTGGCTGTGGAGCCTGAGTCCTGTCACCAACCCCACGGGGCCTGGGAGCTGGGCGGGCGGCAGAGGAGCAGCCGGGCAGGTGAGGCGAGGCTGGAGTCTGAGAAGCTCTGTGGGATCCTCCAGGGAGGGCTGGGGGTGGGGCCGGCTGCTGGGCCTGCACGTCCGTGAACACTGTGTGTGTCTACCAGGGTGGTCCGAGGCAGAGCCTGGCAGGCAGCCCCAACAGGTTCAGCTCCGTGGCCGGCCACTTCTTCTTTCCCCTCCTTCAGCGCTTTGACAGGTGAGTGGGTTTTCCGTGGGCCTGTGGACGTTGGGGACAGAGACCCTGGACATATCCCAGTGGCCGAGAGGCTTCCAGCTGGGGTCTGAGTGGGCTTGGGTGTGAATAGGGTGGCAGCTGTGCTGTGGTTTTTGAAGCCTGTGTTAAGTGTCAGGGAACGTTCTGCACGGTTCCTCTGCGGTTCAGCTTTGCTGTGAGGCGCCAGGTGTCTGCTTTGATGCTGGGCTTTGGCATGGCCAGCAGCGCTGCCTGCGCGTGCACAGCGCCATTGCCCACTGGTCCCTGCCCGCCGCCTCCTGCCTCAGCCACCGCTGTGCTGGCCCTATGTTCAGGCCTTGAGGCTCTTGGGTCAGCAGAGAAGTGCTGGGCATGGGTCATGGTGCAGCAGGGTGGGGGTTTCGGTGTTGGGAACTCCTGGCCCCGGTGGGCGTGTGGCAGGCAGCCCCAGGCCGGGCCTGGGCCAGCTGGCTGAGTACCAGGCCTTTTGTCTTGAGGGGACATCCCTCTCGCAGATGTCTCAGTGCAGGCAGGGCGGTGAGTGCAGGAGAGGCTGTGTGGGGCCCCCTCAGTCTCTGCAGTGGCCCAGGAAGTTGGGGAGCCAGGCCTGAGATACCTGCTGCACCTTGGGCTCCATCCTGTGCTGTAGGCCTCTGGTGACCTTCGACCTCTTGGGTGATGACCAGCTGGTTCTCGGAAGGCTGACGCACACCTTAGGGGCCCTCATGTGCCTGGCTGTTAACACCACGGTGAGCAGGGAGAGGTTGCTGGGCACTGGCCTGTGCTGCCCGTGAGGCAGGAGTGCTCCTCAGCCTCACCTGCACCTGGGGACGGGTGTCTGAGGGAGGGCTGCCTGTATGGGCCCCTGGGCAGTGGGAGCATCCCCTTGGCTGTCAGCCACTGTGGGTGCTGGGGTGTGGGGACAGTGTGGGGACCCTGGCCGACTGTCCCTCTGCTGTTGTCCAGGTGGCTGTGGCCATGGGCAAGGCCCTGCTGGAATTCGTGTGGGCCCTTCGCTTCCACATCGATGCGTGAGTGGCTTGTGGGGCTGGGTCAGGGCAGGGTTGCGCGTAGGCACAGGGATCTCATAGTGGGAGCCCCAGGAAGTCTCGAGGTGGCTGACAGGCAGCCTGGCCTGCTACTTCCCGAATGGGAAATATGCCAGGCAGGGCCGCAGCGTGGGTGGCCCACTGCACTCTGGGGGAGAGGTAGGTCTCCCTGGCCTGGGGGTGGTCCCTGCGGCTCCCCTGCCAGGCTCAGCCCCTCTCCTTCCCGCCGGCAGCTACGTGCGCCAGGGCCTGCTGTCCGCCGTCTCCTCTGTCCTGCTCAGCGTGCCTGCGGTGCACCTGCTGGAAGACCTGCCGGACGAGCTGCTGGAAGCCCGGTCCTGGCTGGCGGGTGAGTGTTGGCGCCGGTGTTTTGTGTGGCGCGGCTCCTGCAGGCCGGGCCTGGGCCAGCCGGCTGAGAACCGGGCCTTTCGTCTTGAGGGGACATCCCTCTCGCAGATGTCCAGAGGCGCATGGCGGCCCCAGTGTGGGGAATCCAGAGCCTGGTTCCTGTCGAGGCCGCTTTGGGAATCCTGCAGGGGAGACAAGGGAAGATGCCTCCCTCCGCAAATGGGTTTTCTTCCAAGAAGCCCCACGTCCAGGGGCCACCAGCACAGCCCAGCGAGTTGAGCCCCTCGCCCAGGCCCACCCGGGGAGCGTTTTGCCACTTGGCTCCCCTACATATGTGTTCTTTTTAATGTATACTTAGTTTTTTGAGACAGGGTCTTGCTCTGTCATTCAGGCTGGAGTGTAGTGGCATGATCTCAGCTCACTGCAGCCTCGATCTCCTAGATTGAAGTGATCCCACCTCAGCCTCCTGTGTAACTGGGACCACAGGTGTACACCACCACAGCCTGATAACTTTAACAAACATTTTTTATAGAGATGGGGTCTTGCTATATTGCCCGGGCTCAAGCAGTCTGCCCGCCCAGGCCTCTCAAAGTGCTGGGGTTACAGGCTTGAGCTCCTTTGCTCAGCCCTTGTAAAAGTCAGTTGTGAACGTTGTGACCTTTGGCCTATAGGTACTTAAGCAAGGCCTAAGGACAGGCCACCGGGACCCCTTGGACCCACAGAGGCAGAGTGTGCAGGCTGGAGGTGCAGCCACCCCAACTGCTGGCCGCTTTCCTCCTTTGGTCCTGACCCAGGACCCCGCTGGCCCCCTGATCCCCCTCCCACCTCCCTGGCTCCTCTGGCCATGTAGTCGCCGGCACAGTTTGTTGGTTCCCTGCCTTTGTGGTCCAGTGGTTGGTATGTGGGGCCCTCAGGGTGGCTTCGTGGATGCCGCCTCTTCCACGTTTGTCAGGAGGTTCCCGGGCAATGCAGGTCCTTCCCGGGGACTTGCGCTTAGGCTTCCATGCTGGGGGACACTGGGGGTGCTTGTGGTGAAGTCACCTTTCCCATGGGGCTCGGCTGTGTGCCTGTTCTGCCCCTGCCATCCCTCCTCTCCCCACCCGGGCACAGTGCCAGCCTGTCAGGTGTGAACGGGTGTTTCCTGTGGGGAGTGGAGCCCATGAGTCTCCAGGGATGGCCAAGCAGAGCACAGGACTGATGGACAGGGGAAGGATAGCCCAGCTCTGCCCTGTCCCCTCCCAGGACCTATGCTCACGGAGCAGCTGGAGGGTCCTTGGCCCAAAGTGCAGAGGTGCTGTGCTGGGCTTGCTGCTTTCAAGGGGGGGTAATGCTCCCAGACGCCGGTCCCTTAGAGCCACTGCCCAGCTCCTCAGTGTGCTCTGGCCCACTTGCCCTGCCCGGAGGAAGAGAGGTCCCCCTTGGCCAGTGGAGTCACTAAGGGGGCTGGGTAGGCGGGCACACTCCCTGCAGTCCCAGGGCCGCCTCCTTCCCCGGAGACTCGGTGCCTGCGACATAGTCGTCTGGGGGCCTTGGGGGCCTGAAGCACCAGGAGGAGCAGGGGGCGTGGCTCTTAGCTGGTCCCTTTCCACTCAGGGCAGGCGGGATCTGGGCAGGGCGCCCTCCTCTCATAGGCACTTCCCCGAGGATTACAGGTGCCCTCCTCACCCTGAGATTCTAGCCCAGTTTGGGGAGGAGCTGTGGCTAGCAGAAACCCTGAGGCTCCCTGGGGCCCCAGGCTGCAGGAGATCTTGGTGAGGGCCCAGCACTGCGGGCAGCCAAGGGCTCTGGCTTTGACCCTGGGGGGCAGCGTGCTATCCCAGATGCCCAAGAGGCCGCCCCACTGGTGGGTGGCACCTCCCGACACCCACCACCCAGATTCCTGGGGTTTTCCACTTCTGACCACAGCCCGTGTCTGCAATCCAGCACAGAGCAGGCCCTGCCTGTGTTCCCAGGCTGTGCCTCACCCCAGTCCCTGGCCCCGGCCCCCTCCCATGGCAGCCACCTGTCCTGCACACAGCTCAGGGCAGCCGTCCACATATAGTGTGGCCCACACAGAGCCTGTGGCACGCAGGACGTGGGCCTTGGGGTGGGTCTGGGCTCACTGCAGACCCAAGCCCCCTTTCTTCAGTGGAGTCAGGCCTGGCGGGGCTGGTTCGGCAGACTGAAGACGGAAGGAGGGAGAACGAGCCCCTGACGCTGCCTTAGCCTTGCTTGTCACTCTCGTCTGGCAGATGTGGCCGAGAAGGATCCGGACGAGGACTGTAGGACGCTGGCACTGAGGGCCCTGCTGCTTCTGCAGAGACTCAAGAACAGGCTTCTCCCGTCCGTGTCTCCCTAGGCCCACCCCCGCCAGCAGCAAGGAAGCCGGCAGCAGCCTGGAGCAGCGGAGCCAGGCTTTGTAGCAAGGCCAGGTCTGCGGCAGCATCCGGTACGGAGAGTGCAGATCAGGAAGGCCTGGCCTGCCGCTATTTATAGTGCAGCAAGTCTGCTAAAAATACACTGGGCCTGGGCACTGCCCACCGGGGCACGGCAGCCTGGACATGGGGCTGGGGCTGGGACTGTAGGCGCTGCTGGCGGGGTTGACTCCTCCAGTGAGGGCAGAACCAGGCTGGCAGGAGGGGAAGATGGCATAGCTGCTGTTCAGAGCCCCTGAGGCGCTCCTTTGAGAGCCACCAAGCAAGACAGAGCAGCTCCCGTACCAGGTCCCTGGGCTTAACGCTGTATCCCCAGGAGAACAGGAGGGAGCTCTGAGACCAGAGATAGTTGTTCTGCTCACAGCCCAAGCAGGGCCTGTGGTCCTGGATGGGCTCGTGGGGTGGGGTGGGACAGGGCACGGGCTCTCAGAAAATAAACTACTTTATTAGAATTAAATGAGTGTTGGTGGCTGGTGGGCAGAGCCTAGCAGGGGCTGTGGCCACGAGGATCTGAGTGTCCCAGCTGTTGCTTGGGAGCTGTGGGCCCTGCAGGAGTGTGGGGAGGATATGCTGGGAACAGGGGGACAGGTGCCTCAGCCCTCCAGCTGCAGCCTCCATTCCTGAGGTTCTAGAAGTTTCTCAGGCTTTACAATGTATAGTTGGGAGACTACGATGGAAGAGTGAACCCGACTTCCTTTAAAGGAACGGATCCAAAAATCTACCGGAGCTGCTGGGCACCCAGAGGCAGGTGGAGCGGAGCAAGATGCAGATGGGTCGGCCCTCCTGGCCCACGGCATCCTCTCTCAGCTCTCCTGTGTATTCCCTCACAGACATGGTTTTTCCCAGCAAAAAAGCTGGCTGTGCTGCAGCTGACCACTGGAAAATTCTGGAAGATGCCTTCCTGCAGCAGCATGCTGGCCCCGGGGCCCAGGCCCGTCAGGGGTCGTCGGCTGCCTCTTCCACCACCTCCTCGTCTGGCTCCCTGGGGTCCTCCATGCTGTTGTGTCGGACCCGCTCGGGCATGGTGCGAGTCAGTGGGAGACCCAGCCCCTGGTGCACGGCCTCTACAGCCCTCGGGCTCACGTAGTAGGACATGTTGGCCGTGGGAAGCCGCCGCCGCATCTCCTCCAGGAACCTGTAAGCCTGGGGGCAGAGGAGCAGCTGTTACTCAGCTTTCCTGAACAACCACAGCTCTCTGCCCCCAGGCCAGCATGCACTGCTGCCCCTGGAGGCAGTTGGGGGCGCCTCCCCGCTGGACGGCATGGGGTGCACTGAGGCTTCCCAGCGACGATCAGGGGATGCAGTGCCCGTGGACGGTACATGTGCCGCATGTGGACTGTTAACAGGAAGCTGCAGTCAACATTTCATCTGGAAATGCAGAGCCAGGGCCCTGGGAAGTCCCTTAGCAGCTGTGCGCAGGAGCCTGCCCACCCTGCATGTGTGGCAGAGCCTCCCGGGGAGCCACAGGCTCTGCGTTTTACACTTAGTCTTCGGAGTGGACATGAGTGTCAGACTGGAGGGCAGGCAGCAATATCTAGTGGTTTTTCTTTTTTTTTTTTTCTGAGACAGTCTCACTCTGTTGCCCAGGCTGGAGTGCAATGGTGTGATTTCGGCTGACCGCAACCTCTGCCTCCCAAGTTCAAGAGATTCTCCCGCCTCAGCCTCCTGAGTAACTGGGACTACTAATTCCTGTAGTCCCAGTTACTCAGGAGGCTGAGGCGGGAGAATCATGCCTGGTTAATTTTTGTATTTTTAGTAGGGACGGTGTTTCACCATGTTGGCCAGGCTGGTCTCAAACTCCTGACCTCAGGTGATCTGCCCACCTGGGCCTCCCAAAGTGCTAGGATTACAGGTGTGAGCCACTGTACTTGGCAAAACATCTTAGTATTTCTTAAAGATCATAAAACTCTTAGAGCAGTTTTATTTTGGACAGGGACAGAAGTAGGATATAAAAAACAAATATATGAATGTATAAAGATCATGAAAGGTTAAGCTATGAAGATATTAATAAGCTTGCTGGCTGGCTCCCATTACCTGGCAGTGGACCTGTATTTTAGGAAGGCCTCTGCTGGCGTGGACTGGTGGAGTGCAAGCCTTCTACACAGTCTCAAGTGAGAGGGTGAGGGCAAACATCTACATGTGAAAACTGCTTCCTTAGATGCTGACAAACCACCTGCCATGTGCCAGGCATAGTGCTGGGGACACAGGACGTAAGGCCCAGAACAAGCTCAGGTAATGCTGTAGCGAGGAGCCCAGGCCAGGCAGAGGTCCTGCAGGGCAGAATTCAGAGAAGGGCCGGCACAGGGTGGGAGGGAGAAGGAGGAGTTAACCAGGGATGAAGAGGGACCCTGTGTTCAGAAAGGGCCTGTGTCCACCTGATATAACCAGAGCCCAGCTCTGCTCTGTGCACAGCTGCCTTCAGAGAGGGCAGTGAAGCGGTTTCCAGAAGGCAGGCAGAGGGCGCAGAGGGTGGGTGACAGGCAGAGGATGGGCAAGGGGCTGGGAGTGGGGTGGGCAGGAGAGTGGAGAAAGAAATGTTGCTGGGGGGTCTTGGCCCCTGAAGATGTTCAGCACCCAGCATCAGGAGTATGTATGGCTTGGCTCACGGCGGTGGGAAAGCAGAGCGGATGTGGGAGCCCAAGCCTGGGGCGAGGTGTGTACACATGACCCGGGAGGCGCTGCTAAAACAACAGTGAGGGAGTACGTACACCTGGGCTTTCTTGGTTTAGCTGGCCTTCCCCGTTTCTTTCTCTTTTGTATCTCGAGTTACTAAATCCCATAGGTTTCCAGCAACCATAGAGACAGTAAAGAACTTTGGGAGCCGAGGCGGGCGAATCCTGAGGTCAGGAGTTCAAGACCAGCCTGGCCAACATGGTGAAACCCATCTCTACTAAAAACAAAAAATTAGCTAGGTGTGGTGGTGCATGCTTGTAGTCCCAGCTACTCAGGAGGCTGAGGCAGGAGAATCGCTTGAATCTGGCAGGCAGAGGTTGCAGTGAGCCAAGATCATGGCACTGCACTCCATGCCACTGCACTCCAGCCTGGTGACAGAGTGAGACTGTCTCAAAAAAAAAAAGTTGGTGAAATATTTAAAATGTGGATTTTCTGTTATTATTATTATTTTTTTTGAGTCTCGCTTTGTCGTCAGGCTGGAGTACAGTGGCGCAATCTCTGTTCACTGCAACCTCCGCTTCCCAAGTTAAAGCGATTCCCCTGCCTCAGCCTCCTGAGTAGCTGGGGCTACAGGCATGCACCACCACACCCAGCTAATTTTTTGTATCTTAATAGAGATGGGGTTTCACCATGTTGGCCAGGATGGTCTCGATCTCCTGACCGCGTTGACCTCGGCCTCCCAAAGTGCTGGGATTACAGGTGTGAGCCACTGCGCCCGGCCAATTTTCTGTTAATTTTGAGGATAGGCCGGATGCGGTGGCTCTCACCTGTAATCCCAGCACTTTGGGAGGCCGAGGCGGGCGTATCACAAGGTCAGGAGATCAAGACCTTCCTGGCCAATGTGGTGAAACCCCGTCTCTACTAAAAA